AATGCTTTATTCCTATTCAAGCCGAACGTAATATTTGAAAAGTGATAACGGCACAAAGCATGCAGAAGGTTTGACATAAAACCATGCAGAATAAATTATAACCAGGAAAACAGTGGTATGAATGCTGAACCAGCAATTGTAAAATAAAAATGTTTATGATGGTTAATCAGACAAACTCCTGATTACCTCAAATAATCACAGTTTTATGACAGCTGTGAGGCTTTCATGCTTTTTAACACAAACCTGTGGATTTTGTTGTCCACATTTGGTGAATTGTGTTAAATTATAAATTAAAATGTGTTCATGCAGCTGTTTCATCGGTACATATGACGTGCTGCTGACTGTTTGCATTTCTTGAGTTGTTTCAAACGAATAAATCAAACGGGGAACATTTGCATCTTCCCAGCGCGTGACTGAAAAGCACATCACTCCTGGTTTCCTCCAACTGGTTCCTGCATGGATCTTGTGACGCATGCGGACACATCATCAAGGAAGTAATCGTCTGTTATAATTGCTTGGTTTAATTCATGCATATCTTTTAACTTTAAATAAAGCGATCAGTCTTGTTCAGCATAATTAACAGGCCAAGCTCCTAAATTAAATTCATTTTCCAGTAAAAGGAAAAAAAAATCTCAACTGACTGAGGCAGAAAGTGACTGAAGTTTGTTTTCTCAACAGACATTAAAAGCTTGAAACGCTAAATTTAAAACAAATAATGTGAAGATTTGTTGCTTATCTTTTGACTTTTTTCATACAATACTACGTAATCATCTTGCTTTTACTTTATTAAACTAAAATTTAGTATCTATACCGTTTTGTTGTGCCATTTAATAGTGATGCTTCTCGGATTGGGAGTTTGAAGTAATGGGATCTTTGCGTGCGATACGTCACGTTGAGCAAAACAAAAAACTCACGAGGTGAGACATTCTTACCACACGAACCTGACAACAGAACCGTCTGCCGGAGGATGAGTGAAAGGTTTATACAGTGGAAATTTTAGTTGTCAGGCACCCATTTGTCTAAAAGGACTAAAAACTTCAAAGTTTACCTTGACTTACGTACTAGTATAAAAATAATATGATCCTAACTCTCAGATATGTTTGAGTTATGAATTGTTGCTTTTCACACGAGGGAACGTAAATACATCATTGTATTTTTTTGTATCTTGAGATGACTTTTATACTAAAGTTATTGCAGATAATAAGACGTGATGGTTTGTTGACCCCCATTTGAATATATGGGGGGGGGGGTATGTCACGTTATGTTTTTTTATTTGTTATATGCGGGTTAACACAAGGTCAACAATGCAATGTTGAAATGTTCTGGATGAGAAGAATCGATTTGACTCGCAATAAAAAAATAAAATAAATACTAAAGCATGCAATAAGGGTACAAAATAAAGTGGAAAAGAAATATAATCATACATGATCAGTAAATTAACAAGATGCAAATCTAATCTTAAGATTGAAAAGCACTTGAAAACATTCAGTTGCTATTGCTGTTAAAAACAGTTTCTCTAACTGAACCCCTCCTCCCATCTGTTCACGAAAACAGAAGCAGGCTCGGTTCTGGTAGAAAGTGAAAAGGCCCGACAAACTCAGCCTCTCGCTGCGCTGCTGTTAGAAAAGTGAGTTGAGTTGTCAGTCAGGAAGAAGTCGGTGACTGTCTGGCACGTGAAACGCTGAGCGACTTTTTCAAAGGAGAGAACCAAAACACCTCACACACACACACACACACACACGGAGCTTACTGCTGCTGCTTTTTGTCTGTATAAACACGCATCTCATCTAACAGGCACGCATAAAAAACACGTTTTTTTTTTTGTTTTCATAAGATTGAGATCATTAATACATTGGAAAATAGTTTGACACTGATTAGATTCACAGAAGGCTCTTCTTTCTGAGTTTGTGTCATTTAGAAAATGTTCCAGTAAGTGTGACCTTTAAGTTCTTAGGTGGCACTACATAATTATTGACATCCTAACACAGGCCACATAGGCTCGGTTTTATATTAGAGAAACATCGGCATTCAGCACAGTCTGTTGGTATATCCTGAAATGCAAGCCACATTTATATTGTGCACGCAGAGAGCCTCATATGAATTCAGTGCAGAATCACACCCAAGTTCAGTTTTTTTTAGATAAACCGTGCATTGTCAGAGTTGTCAGCTTGCCTTTTAGAAAGTGATGTTGGGTTCTACCAGCTATAGATGACACCATTGAGACAGCAGATGTAAATGCCAACATCTGTAATGTTCCTTGGTTCCCAGCAGTGCCCACTGCATATGCACTGAGATCCCAATGATGCAAAGGAATATATCGGTCTTATATGCTTACAGCAAAGCAACATCTTTCCCAAGAGGACTGTGGTTCTTTCAGCAGCACAATGCCAGACTTTATTCTGCACATCTTACAGTATAACATTTGTGCTTTCCATTCCTACAGTCTTGATCTTTGTTTTATTTTTAAAAAAAAGTCACATTTCACATATTTGTATTTTTCTAACAATTAACTAGCAGGTTAGAGGCAATGCTGACCCAGTATCTCATCCTTGACTTTTAAAGAAGCACTTATTCTTGCACACTGACACTTTTACACACAGCATAGATGTAGCGCTCGTGCAAAACCTTAAGAATACAATGGAAAGTGCAGGACCATTCACCAAACAACTGTAATCTGGAAAATATACAGTAGTCCCTCGCTACGTCGCGGTTCGAATTTCGCAGACTCGCTCTTTTGCGTTTTTTCAAAGTAAGATTGGACATGACACACAATTGCCTGATTGATGGACAAGCCATGGATTGTTTATTTAAAATAAATTATTTTAAATGATTTAGCACCTGTGTGCAGCCCATGGGTGCAGGAAGAAGCTCCCTCCTCTCTCTGCCACGCGCCCATTTCTCCTCCTGCTGTAGCTACTTCGTGAAGGGTTAACCCTTTGCTGTCCTGCTGCATTTCACTTCTCTACAATTTAAATTTAAATAGCCTTTAGAGTTTAGAAACATTGTTGAGAATATTGTGGGCAGGGTCTATAAAGCCTTAATATACTGTATATATAAATATAAATCTCATGTACATGAGATGGTAATGACAATTAAGTTTACATGAACTTTAACTTGGACTACTGTATCCCCTCTTCTTCATGGTTTTTCACTTACCGTGGGGCGTGGTCCCCTAAACTCAATGATAAACGAGGGACTACTGTATTACATTAACTAGATACTTATGCTTCTTATACATCACACACATAAATATTTCTAATTGGCATGTAATGCAGTACAATTTTCATACAGTCAGAGGAAATGTGTGTTTTTTTCACCTTTAACTACATTAGTTGTTCTGTTATTTATTTATCACTCAGTATAATTCAAAATCAAGATCTGGCACTAAACAGACTAGTAGTAGTACATTCTAAAGCCACGGCCGATATGGAAATTTTGGCTATCGCTGATTCCAATATTGGGAGGGGCATGCTATTGCAATAAACCGATATAATGGTTGAAAATATTTGAGCTTTGTCCACCCCCAAGAATCTAAGTAAACAGCTTTTAAACCTGTTTTAACACTTGAAGTCTTGAAACAGTCTTCCAAATGTGTGTTCACATTTTCTATCCTCCACTATTCACCATGAAGTTATTAAACGTGTTAAAAATATATAAATTAAACAAAGAAACGCCCTTCACTGTTCGTTGTTAAACAGTCAGTCATGTATGGTGAAGGTCTAATTAGAATTGACTGCAGCAGAGTTTATTTTTCTTTGTAGAGAATTTAAGATTTCAAACAAGCATTGCATTTCACTGAGGATGAAATAAATAACGTTACTAACACTGATATATTTTATCGCCACATTAGATTTATTGTTCTGGATGAAGTTTTACAAGGTAATAGCCTATGCTAAAAGTTAGCTCGCTAACTTGAGAGGCACGTCGCTAATAACAAGCAGATTGGAGGATTGAAGAGAATTTATTATTGTTGATTTTTATTTTATTTTACAGATCATTTACAAATAAACTTACCATGCTCTGTTCAGCAAAATACACTACACAGTATTTAGCTGCTCCCTTCTTCGGCTGTGGTGTGTGTCAAGTGTGCAGCAAGGTCGTGCCTTGAAAGTAGTCCACATGCACCCTCTGCTGGATACATTATACAATTACACCATTTGCAAGTAAGGACATGACTCGTTCCCATCATATTACTGGTGAAAATCAGAATTATTTATATTGGTACATAATGGGCCAAATATCACCAATATGTTCCCAAACGACCATATCGGCCCTATCGATATATCGGTCAGTCTCTAGTACTTACATTAAATAAAACTATGCTTCAACATATATATTTTTTACGTCTATAGGTTTTTCAAAATTATAAGTCAAGTTAATGCTAAATTATTTTTGGCTCAAACATTCCAGTTCTCAAAAGTCTGTATAGTCACAAAAGGACCATAGTACGATCCCACAAAGTGCGAATGTAATCTTGTTATATTTGATCACACAAGATGGAAAGGCTGAAGCAAGTCCGCCAGCTAAGAGTGTGCGTGTTTAATATTTATAACATAATTTTAATCTCTACAAGTCAAGGATGCTGGTCTAAACCACGGGGCTTGCTTTGCTTCTTAGGTTTTTTTTTTTTTCTGCTGCTTTAATATTTAAAAACGCTGCTGGAGCTTATCTGCCTGTTGGAGCCTGGTGTCATTACCAGCAACTGAAAACGAAGCATGAAAGTTTTCCCAAGGGTTCCTACCTAACAAAGCCTTCAATTGGCTTTGACAAGCTGGCGTGGAGGAATTGTTGGCTGACCTAGTACTTGCCTACAGAAGGCTGGGGGAGACAAAAACCAGAGTCCTAATGGGGTCTTTGCTTATATGGTTCGACCCTGCAGTACTGAATTAAGGTTTATAATTCTCTGTAATCCTGTTCTGCTGCAGTATCTCAGCCTGCCAGTCCTCTGTAATTCAGTGTCTTTGTTTTTTGCTTGTTTGTTTTGGTGTGCATCGCTGCAGACTTCTCGGTGTGCTCTGCTGCTGTCTGGACTCCTTCCTGCTGCTGGAGAGCCAGTATAACATCTGCTCCATGCTGCTGCAGAGCCAGAGGGAGAACGTGCCTGACCCAGACACCACGGACGGGTATGAAGGCACAAACGCTTACCTGAAAATTGATGGTGGCGAGGCTATGTTTTGATGTTTGTAATCAATAATTACTGCCATTTCACTGTATTGAGTTTGTGAGGCTTTCTAAAAATACAGAGCACGCTTGTATAAAACATTTAGTTTTGTTTAAAAAAATAATAAAATGCTCACTGAAAAGGTCAAATTATTACTTGTAGCATTTCTAAAGATTTTAGCTCACGTCTACTGTCTTTACATGTTTAAGCTATTCAAATCAGAATAAACTTTAAATACTGTAACTTCCAGACTATCGAGCGCACCTGAATATAAGCCACGCCCACTATTTAATTAAAATAAAAAACATATATAGGCTGCATTTATGTATATGTCCACGTTGTTACATGAATATTTACACAGAAAGATATACAAATAAACACTTTTAATTAAATACATACCGGTAGCATACACAAGTACTACAGTAAAAAAAAAAATAATAATGCTGAACACTGCCTGTGGCACGACTGGTTAAAAAAATAAATAAATACAGTAGCCTATCAGGAAGTCTAACAAAGTTAAGTCAAGACCTCTGGACAGATTCTTGTTGAAACGTTTTGTCTTTTATCCAGAAGACTTCGTCAGTCTGAGAAGCTGCAGTAAACTTCCTGCTTCCCTGTGTAAGCTCCTCCCCTTCCCAGTAGACCAACGAAACCAAGTTTTTTGGTTCACTGTGGCCTGTTTTTTTTTTACCTTTATTTATACAGGTAGTCTCATTGAGTCACGAGGATCCCACCCCCAAGAGAAACATGTTTTGGGCAGTTATGTGAGCACGCAGGTGTTACGAGGCTAAATGTTTTGATGGCATGAAGCTCGTTAGCCCGTTTAAAACAAACAAACAAAAAAATCCATTAATTAGCCAGAGCATTATCCACAGTGTTCAAAGTGCATGAAAAAATAGCAGCTTAGTCTGAAAATTATGGTAAGTGCTTGTAGACCTTTCAAAGTGTCAGTTGTTTCGTGTTCACCTCATTCAGTAAAGTTTTTTTTTTTGCCTCTGTGAGTCATTTTGACATGACAGAACACTTGAATTTAGTCATATCTCAAGATGAGAAATTGTTTGTTTGCCTTGTCAAACAAAATGAGGAAATAAAGCATAAAGAAAGTGAAAAGGCCATTTATGAAAGTGTGTTGAAGACCACTTTCCTCCTGGTAATGGCAGACACTTTTGTTACAAATAGAAATGGTCCTGAAATGCTCACTCACATCGCATGTCTGAGTGCTGCCTCCATTTTGGAGGATGATGATTTGCTCCTTGTCCTCCCAGTTCCTGACCTGATATTCTCGCTCTCATCATTGACATCTACTCTAGCCTGTTTTTTCTATATATATTTTTAAATTTTTTATGTTCTTTTCTGGTATCTAAGCTTTGACTTACCTTACTGTATTTTTGTAGTAATTCTTCCTCTGTCCTGCTCCTTGTTCTCTATTTGTTTGACTTTTTTTTTTTTAAACGTTGATGACACCAGAATTTCCAGTTGAGTCATGAGGACCGTCATGATTTTTTCCCCAGCAAAGTGCAGTAACATTTTGTGGCAGACTGGTTTTTGGTAAAAGAACTGTACAAGAAAATGGTGTCCTTGATTTCAAGTTCAGATTGCCTCAGCTACAAGAAACCAATGCCTTTCAATCCTAAAGTACCTTTTTACTCTGAAAAGTTTTGACCTTACCTGAAATTCTAACTGTCCTCTCTTTTTCTAACCTCCTCGCGTCAGTGACACAATTGTAGAGTTTTAGAAAATTCAGAATTAATGAGAATTATATCATTTTATAGTTAAAAAACTGAACAGATTGAGTCTTTAATACTCTTGTCCTTGCCATCAGAAAGCATTCCTGTTACTGCAGATTCATTTTCATAAAGTGATCTAAGTAATTTCCCCTATTTTTTATTCTTTTGTATTGTCTTATGAAGGTCATTTGCTTCTCTAATGAGAAGTCCAGTCTCTTTATCTATTTTCACGTTTTTACTTTTGTTTAACCTTTTTTTAAAATTAAATGCTAGCTAATCTACATGTGTTCTCTGTTCGAATAAAGGTTAATAAGATGTTTTTTCTCTCCTCCAAAGGGCGATCATCATCGACAGTTTGTCAGTCGAGAGGAATCACGTGTTGGTTCGAGTTAATGTGGTTGGAGGTCCGTCTGAGAGGAGGCTTCCTGCACGACGCCTGCAGGAGGTCAGCTTTGTTTTTAATCTCAAACTTCACCAGATTACACGGTTCTTCCGATGACAATCTAAGTTTTACAGGGGAAATTACGGTAAAGGCGTTTTAAACCCTTCCCACACTCTTGCAATATTTTAAACATTGTTTCTAAACGCTCTAAAAGAGCACAGAATGTCATGATTTCAGCTACCTGCCTTCACTGCACTCTGCCATCTTGGCCACGCCCACTTCTTTGCGGCAGAGTCAAGATCAGCTGATCAGCTGCAGGAGGAAGCTTCTACTGTAGCTTGGGCTGCACGCAAGTGCTAAATAATTTAAAATAATTTATTTTAAATAAAAATTCCATTCCAGTCGTGCAGCTCATCCATCAATCAGCCAATTGTGTGTCATGTCCAATCTTACTTTGAAAAACAGTGATAGAGCGAGTCCGCGAAAAATGAACCGCAAATCTAGCGAGGGACTACTGTAATCCGTTTATAGGATTGAAGCTAGTTGGTAGATTTCCCGAGACCATTGTTGGAAAAAGCAAAAACAACATTTCTAGTGTCTTTACTTATCTTTCTAACTTTTGACTTGTTTTGAAACGATGATTAGTTTAAACCAAATAAGCAACAAGTAAATTACTACTTCTGAATATTTTTTTACTCTGAATCTCACACAATCCAGCTGCTTAGTATTATTTCGACATTAAATGTCTAGAAATTTTTACATATTTTTCTCAAATCTGGAACCTTTTATTTGAGGTTGAGGCATCACAACATAAAAATCAGACTAAATGTAACAAATGCATATCTCATTTTCAGCCTCAGTGTAGCTTTACAATCTGGCTACATTTTGGAGCCATAACTCAGAAAAAGAAGATTGATGGTAACTGTAAATAGACTTACTGTGAAGTCGAACAACATCAAGACCTTTTAGTTTATACTTTTGGGACTCTACAAGATGGTAGTGAGACTTGTGTCATAGAAATAATAAAAGATCCACTTTGCTGATTTTTATCAGTTTTTTTACAAAACAAGTAGAAAAATCTCAGGGATAAGAAGAGTCCAAGCAGCAGAATTAGTATAATCTCAGATTGTAAGACAATGCCTTTAAAACAAGCTTATAAAGAAAAAGGCAAGGCCAGCAGCAGCTCTGTTTTCTCTGCAAGCTGTCAGCATGACCCAACATCAAACTGAGCAGACACGCTCTACACATGGCAGTGCTGTTACAGCTAATGAGGGCATCTCAGAACACCCATCATTGGATCTTATTTTCATAACAATATGGCTTGGAGACTGTGGCAATAATAACATGACAGGAGGCAGAGCTGAAGATTTGAACATTTTTATCAGTAGTCACCAAAACAGACAGGATTAGGAAGGACAGTCCGGTTTAAGGCGAGGACATGTGCAGGGGAGATATAATGGATATATTGGAATATGGAGCAACCAGGGAGGATGAAATGACCACAGAGAAGAGGTAAAGTGTGGAGTGAAGGAGGAGGGCTGTTGTGACAGAGGAGGATGCTGGGTGAGATTGATGCTGATGGTTTGCTGTGGCGACTCCTAAAGGGAGTATCTTATTGGATTGCAACTAGCTGGCAACTCAAAATTGGATGTAGATTGCAAGAAAATAAAAGACAAATTTTCAATTCTGCACTTTTAAAAAAAAGATAAGCAGATTTGGACCGGTTTTTCCAACAATATTTATTCATCATCAGTAGGCCTGTTACGATAAACAATTAATCGCACGATAAATGAAAATGATCAAACTCATTTTGATTTATCGGCTTTATTTTTTCTTCGTGTCTCTCTCTTTCTGCTGAAGACACTGGATGACAAAAGACTCAACTCTGGTGTTCTTCACTGACCCCTCCCGTTCTCTTTTCTCTTTAAAATCCCTTTTAATCGTCCAAAATCGCTTTTTTGTATCGTTAAAAGCAGCTAAGCTAAGAAGCTAAGCTACGAGCTAAGCTAACAGGCCGACCTCAGGAAAATACCTCTGTCATGTTGAAGCTCCAAAATTCATTTTTGAAACCCGCACCTTCGTCTAAAAACTTGTTTTTCTCTGAAAAAAAAAGCTGAGAACTTGTTTACTGATTTTTTTTTATTAAAAGCTTTGTGTGACAAATGCTATGCTAAAGAGCTCAAACCACACCGAGCGTCAGCCATTTTGAGAACCGGAAAACAGGAATGAGAGACAGCCCATGTCACGTCAAGAGGCCTCCCTCTAATTTTTATTAAAGAGACACGTTGCTCGCTCCCTCACTATCCATCCTTCATATAGTCTTATACTGCTATCCAGTGGTCAAAAAAGGTACTACACTCAAAACAAATTAACCAACATTTCTTCTTAATTTGGACAATAATTACTAATTATTGTCCAATTTCAAACAATCTTATCGTTTATCGCAATAAATTCTGAGACAATTAATCGCCCAGCAAAATTTATTATCATGACGGGCCTAATCGTCAGCATGCTTTTCAGACCGGGTGGTACAGTTGATAGAGCTGCTGCCTCTCAGCAAGCAGGTCCCTGGTTCAAATCCCGGCCCGGTGGCCTTTCTGGGTGGAGTTTGCATGTTCTCTCCGTGCATGCGTGGGTTTTCTCCGGGTACTCCGGTTTCCTCCCACAGACCAAAAACATGCATGTTAGACTGATTGGTAACTCTAAATTGTCCCTAGATGAGTGGGAGAGTGAATGGTTGTTTGTCTCGTTTGTCTCTATGTGTCCCTGTGATGGACTTGCGACCTGTCCAGGGTGTCCCCCACCTCTCGCACAGTGACTGCTGGATATGGGATTATGGGACAGATTGGGACATTCAGGCCTGTAGCCTTATTTCCCATCAGAGGAAAGTTTTCATAGCAGGAGACAAAATGCAATTGTAGCACTCCTGACATGCCTACCATGACTAATTTGAGGTAATACTTTTTATACTAGTTTTTTGAACATGTTCAAAACTAAAGTGACAAGCTTACACAACCCATCAAAAACATTTGGAGACACTTTAGACCCTCTCTCTCTCATGAATGTCATTTGCCAACTAGTCCCAGCCCAGAGAGATACTACCTTAAAGGAAACAGACACTTATGACTGTCAGGTGTTTTTCTACATTTTGTTTTTCTGTCAGAGTGTAGTGCAAAAACCTTTCTGATGAAACAAACTGCCCTTGCTCCTGTGTTTTTCAGTATCTAATTGACTAAATGGTTCATCTGTAATCTGCCCCTTCACTATTTTTAAGACCACAAACTCAACAACCCTTGTGCTCTTGATCCAAGCATTAATCCATCCACTGTTTCCTATTCTGCACTTCTATTATTGGTAATTGCAAATGAAAGTCTCACTGTTACCAAGAGTGCCTCCGTCATCGTTTGAAGCACGCAGCCTTATTTATCCAGCGTGTCGCCGGATTGAAATCAATTATTTAGGTTTTGTTTATGCTGATCCCAAACCAGGAACTAATTCATACTGAGGTCAAGGAAATGACATTAAAGAGATTTCTAAAGAGGAGAGTGCAAATTAGTTTAGAGAGTGTTTTCTACAGAACAAATGTTTCACATTTTATTTTATTTTTTCTGTTAAATTTCTGTAAAGTCTGCGTAACAAGTTTAAAGAATTCACTCTGGGAGAGACAAGAACTGCAGTCCATGTTAAAACAGGAGTTATTACAGGCATTTTCTTTGTGTGTGTTATAAAAGTATTTTTCTAAACAATAAAAAATATCAAGTTTAAAAAAGTTGTTTCTTAGACTGTCAGTTTTATTTCCCCTGTGCACGAGAGAAGACAAAAACTAGATAATAATAAATAACTACACGTTTAACCTCCTAAGACCCGGACTCTTGCATATGTGGATGTCAGGTCCTAGGAGGTTAATGTCTCCAAGCCTAACCCCCATAAAAACACAACAATATACACTTTTATAACTAAAATATTATTTGGTATAGCCTAAATGTAACGGTACTAATTACCAAAAGACGGTTAAATCATTTCATCTGGACCAGTTTCTTTAAGGGAGAAACGTTTCGTCTTCCATCCGGAAGACTTCATCAGTCTGTGGCCTGCCAACCAGAACTGTCCCTTCATTGCTGTGTTTCAAGCAAACCTCCTGTTGGAATCTCAGAAGCAGGCTTTTAACACGTGCAAAAGGCCTCATCTGTCCAAAACAATCAATCATCGTGTATAACAGTCAAATGTTTTTGGCCAGATGACCGACTTGCTACTCACAGAAACAGCCTGAGGACACCAAGGCCAAATAATTAGTACACATTTCCGGACTATAGAGTGCACCTGAATATAAGCCACGCACACTAAATAAAAAAAATAAAATAAAAATAAAAAAATAACATCAACACAAAATAAAAATTGTATATTTATAAGCTGCACTTGTGTATAAGCCGTGGGTGTTCACATTGTAACATGAGATATTTACACAGAAAGATTTTTAAAACTTCTAATTAAATACACATGCACAAATACGTACAGTAAACTTTTTTTTTTCTGAACAATTCCTTTAACACGGCTGGTAAATAAATATATACAGTAGCCTACCAGGAAGTCATTGATCGCTATCTTCATGTTCCTCATGCTGCAAGCTTGTGCGGAGCAAAAGTTGCTCTGCGCATGCAGGGGAGTCCCCCATCACATGCTCTGATCATGCAGGAGAGGCTCCCTCCCCCTTCCCTGTTCTCCCCTCCCTGGGTGTGACAAAGCTAAATTTTGGCAGCAGGAAGCGCTCGTTAGCTCGCCCAAGAAAAACAATCCATAAATTAGCTGCAGCATTGTATAAGCCATGAGGTTCAAAGGCTGAAAAAAGTAGCGGATTATAGACTGGAAATTACGGTAAACTCCATTCACCACAGATTTAAAACATGTTCAGAGCTTTCTTAGAGGATGCAGAAATCTGGGAACACTTTTAACATTTTTCTGTGGGGCCCATATATAAACTGGAAAATGTCCACAACACTGCAAGCCTCTGATTAGCAAAACGCTCGAATATTTGAATACGACCATGTGTGTATATGATAATAATTCCTATAATTTACTGACACTTGCTTAAAAAAAAAAAAAAATGCTTTCTGCTTTCGGTTTCGTTCCCCTGAAAAGATGTATAAAAGCTGTTATCAGTCAGTCAGGAGGCCTTATCTGCCTTTCTTGATGTGCTGTAAACAAAACACTGAATATTCCCCAGCGTACGTCTACACCCTGCCTTAACAATGTGCGTTATACCCAAACACGTCATTTTTACTAGTGAGAAAACATCTTAGATTAAAAAAAATCTCCTGCTGTTAAATACATGTGGGAATAGACATCTGCTGAGAAAGTTGCTAAACCTATTGCATCTATTTTTCTCTTTAATTAATTAACGCTTTATTAGAGGTTTTTGTAGATATATAAGATAAGATAGAACTTTATTGATTCTGCAGGAAATGGTTGATATAAATATATTTACATTGATTTAGTAAAACAGGACTGTTTGGAAAGGATTAAGCATTTATTTAAAAAAACAATTAGAAAAATAGGTAAAGTAAGATGTCATGCTGCTCCCATCATAAATTGGCATGAAGAATGTGTTCAGTCTTCACTGCGTTTCCTGCAAACATATTTTTTAAAGCTCTCTTAGAGAAGTATTTCATCATAAATTAAAAAAACGTATTGTTTTAAACTTTTAATACCACAAAAATTTTTTTTAGCTAAATTACAATGAGCTGAGTGAAAAGTTGAGCTTATTTCTGGCATGAAAATGAAAAGCTGTGGGTTCCACAGAAACACAAGCTGTTAGTTCAGAAGAGTTGCTTGGTAATGAACTAGTTGTCATCTTTCTGCTTTACTTCACACGGTTTAGTTTGCAGGTTCTTTTTTTTAATCAACTGAGACAGAAAACAGCCCTAACATTTATCTAACCACAGCAGTGAGGCTAAGAATCAAAGATGATGTTAATGAGATGAATCCTGCAGGTCTGAAAAGGACAAGTGATTCAGCGGTGTTTTATTTGTATATTTGTCACATTATAATAATGTGAACGTCTGTTTGGTGCAGGGAGAGCATCCTTACCCCTGGCCCATGTTTTTATGCTTTCCTCCACCTCCCTGCTACATTTTGAACCCACAGGACTCGCACAATAACTCACAAGGTAAGAGAAACATTATCCTCGTTTTCTTTTAAATGCATACCTGCACATTCAATTCAATTTAATTTATAGGAACCGATTGATTTTATTTTAATTTTGTTTATCCAGTTTGTTTGCCCTGACTCTGCTGGCTGTGGTAGCTCAGTGGTCAGCGCCACAGTCTTGTAATCCTGAGGTTGCAGGTTCGAACCTCTGGTGTTAAACGACTGCCAAATCTTTGAGTTCCCTTGCTGCGGCGTCCCCTGAAGATGGGAGCAGCCTAAAGAAAAATGACAGCGTCCTGACTCTTGCCTCATAAATCCTTACAAGTGAAAGGGACTTTACTTATTTGTACTTTTTTTCTTGATCTATAGATTGTGAGATCAGCTCATTTCTAGCTTCTTCAAAAGAACCAGTGAGTGAGGAGAGTTGGTTGGAGAACTGCAGAAGACATTACTGCAAAGCCATGGCGTCAAAACCCAACACTCTAACTGGAAAGGGTAAGTTACTGGATCTCTGGGGAGTGTTTTAGCCAGGATTTATTACCTGTCAGTAGGAATGTGTGATATGGCATAAAATTCATATCACGATATGTATTGTGAAGGGTGGCGATAACGATATATATCGCGATATGTTTTGGGTATAAAACTTAATAGGAATTTTTTTAAAAGCATAGGGTGTCCTTTTGCTATCATATATTTTGAATTAAAAAAATTCCACTACTAGGTCCAGAGAGTTTTTAAATAATAAACAGATCAAGTATTAGGCTTCTTGCTTGTAGCGCAAAACAGTGCAAAAATATAAAATGTAGTTTTAGCCATATGTTTTAAACAAAATAATATGTTGTTAACTTAACAGTTTCCAGTCTTACTTAATAAATGAACAGCAACAGAGCAGCATTTTACACTGAAACACTTCACCCTCCAACCCTCTAGTGGGCGCCTCCTTCTGCTTTAATGGAGAGCTGACACAAAATGAGTCTGTGGCTTTGACCAGAGGGTCTCGCAGTAAAATCACACAACACAGCGTTCTTTTCACAGATCAGAGAGCAGGTTTCTCTAAAGCTGACCAACGCTTACTTTAACTTTCGATGGGGAAAAATAAAAAAAATAAAACTTTCGACGGAACACATCGTTTTGCGCATGCGTCAGAATACGGCGACACTACGGCAAGCCGGCTGTAGTTAGCTTGTAGCTTCGCTACTTAGCTCTCGAAGAAAAGACTTTAACGCCACTTACGCACAGTTTTCAACTAAAAAAAAGTAACGATTACATCTGACAGCTCTGATTTTACACTTGAACACCATTTATGCACAGTTTTCAACCAAAAAAGTAACGATTGAACTGACAACTTTGATTTTACATCAGACACAGCGTTACTGCGGTTAGCCAGTAGAAGACAGATCTATATCGTAGGCTAAATTTCTATCGTTTCTACCATGTACAGTTTATATCGCTCATTCCTACCTGTCAGTAATATATATGTTTAAAGTAGGGACGCACGATATTGGATTTTTGGCCGATATTTTAAAACTTATTTGGTCAATAACTGATACCGATATTTTTAGTATACATTCCTTTGTCAGAACATAGCCTTCTCTCTTATTTAGGCTTATTTGCTACAAAAATTGTGCAACAGCTGTAAGAGCGGGTGACATATATTCAGTAACAGCCATATGATAAGCATAGCACTTTAACTTATATTAAATGAAAAGTGTTAAATATTATTTATTAGCATTAGTCACCTGCGATGCTGTCTCACTTGTGGAGGCTTGTTCCAGGTTCCTATAGCTGCAGTGATGGATCCTGTGCATGAAGGACAGCCTTTATAAGTTCAAAGTTTTTATCTATCCATTGAGCTGTAAAACTAATCATGCTAACGGGGCTAACGCTTGACGTCCAAATGTCTGTGGTAAAACTCACCCAAGTGCTATCGGCTGTTAGCTTCTCAATGACGTCAGAAATGACGGCTTGTAACTCGGGTAAGGTTATGTTAGAAAAAAATCTCTGACTGGGAATGATGTAGCAAGGGCATCCTTGTCACTGGGTTGTCAAACAAAAACAGCGTCTTTTATATCGGTGAGTTATTTTGATGGAATGGCCGATGTCCGATATTTAACTTTAATGCTAATATCGGCCGATACCAATAATATTGTAACATCCCTAGTTTAAAGCATAGATAATATAAATAAACTCGCGCTTAGTGTTTATTTTTGCAGCCATTCATTTAGTATTATTAACGTAAAATTGCCAAGCAGTTGTGAAACGAACATTTGAGTTGTTGCCATGTGAAGAATGGGTATAAAGTACATAATCTAGTACAAATTAAGGTTTACAGAAAGCACCTTTGATTTATTTAATCATAATCTTTGTCTGTATGAGTTACCCATTTTATTTACCGGTATCCTTGAAAATCTACATTTGTTTTGTGGCAGTCAATGTACCAAAACACTTCAGTATAAGATTCAGATAAACGTCAGTAACGTTCCTGAACATTACTCCAAAAAGTGCAATTTGTTTCTGTAGTTTAAAAAAAAAATTATTTTAGAAATGAACAAAAACTTATCAGCTGCATCCCTGAAATCAACGCAGGACAGTTTTTTTTTAATGCTGGGGTTCAGATTTTGCTCTTGAATGCTTGATAATTTCCTGATTTCACTGATTACACATAGAAGTGATGAATGAGGCCAGTGCAGCGATGAAAGCTCGTCAAACAGGTCGGCTTCTAGAACTTCAGCTTCTCATCTCATTCCTATGAGGCGTGTAAACGTTTTAGATGTACTTAAAACTAAACCTTCATATATATTTAAATGCACTGCAGTATAGTCTTTTTCTAACTATAATTTGCTGTCGTCTTGTTTTAATGCAACTATGCCACCTACCTTTTCCCACCCCTACAGAAATCTGGAGGCTGTGTTCATCTTAACACTTCATCATTGTCATTGACTGACACGTTAAAGTGCACCTACGCTTACTTTTCTCATATAGGAGTAAATGGCTGTGATTGAAGAAAGACAAAACTACATTTAAATGAAGCAGGGCTGAGAATCTGATTACGTCCTTTCATCAGTACACTGTTGAAATTGCCTACAAAAGGGCCCACTCAGCTCCACGAGGCTCATTTGATGCTTTTCACTGGAAAACGATCAAGATTCATTATGTTTTAAGCTCCCCTCAGCTGAAGAAATCCAGTTTTGTTTTGCATGTCATTAACTACACAAAACTGAGCATTTTCTTTGTAAGAAACGCTCAATAAAAGAAAATTGTTACATTTATGAGCTGACTGCAAAAATAACCATATTTCGGAGATAATTAACTTTTTTCGTAGTTCTTCATATTCTAATCAGCTGAGAAACAAAAAGGATGGAGTATACCATCGCTTCATCAAAAACCCCTCACTGTTGGAGCCGTTTCACGTTCAATACCTCGCGCTCTTGTCAGCTTATTGATTCGTTAATTAGTCTGCAGCAGCAGCATATCAATGATCTTCATTCAGCCGTGCTCAGAATCACTCAGGCAGTCCTGCTTATGATCATCAACCTCCCGTCTTATAAACTGACAGCCAGGGAAACTGTTATAATTATGCCTTTTTATCTTTACAAAATATATTCCAGTTAACTCTCATTGTGTTAACCCCAATTTTTTTTCTATTTTTTAAGATATATATATTTTCCCCACCCAAACGTGCTCTGTTCATATTTAAAAAAACACTTTATTTTGCTCCATGTGAATATTCAAGTTAACTTCTCTTAGTATGGAGTTATCTCACTTCATACTATGGAAATAGAGTTTCAGCACATTCATAGTTTTTTACTTTTTATCAAGCAGGAAATTGATACACGACTAAAACAAGATTAAAACTTTAATTTTCAGCTTGAACAATCTTAAATATTTCAGAAAGCCATAGCTTCAGTAATTATCAAGTTCTGACAAGACATCCATCCAGCCATCCATCCATCCATCCATCCATCCAGCCAGCCAGCCAGCCATCCATCCATCCATCCATAAATCCAGCCAACCATCCATCCAGCCA